CAAAACGTGACACACAAATTTGGAAGCACCTGCAGGTTTGCTTATTAAACTAAAAGCTGCCTTAATAAATTGTACGTATAAGTCGTTCATACATACATTCAGATGTATCAAATGTACATTCTACATATTGGATAGGGTCAAAAGATAACAAATTAGTCGTTTAAAGTACAAAACCGTGTATCAAGAAACTTCGAATGTGAAGTTGCCCAAAGTTTTGCAGGAAAGCGTCAAGGCTTATAATTTAAAATGGTTCTCTGTTTTATCCCTAATAATCTCCACCTCGTATCTCTAAATATCGATCTTTAGGTACGAATGGAAAAAGCTTGATCACAGGAGCTTCTGGAGAGCAAATCCCATTTTTAACACAAATGTCGCTTAAGAGGTTTTGCAGGGCCAAGATCCGCGGTTTTGCACTTTCAACGACGATATATTTGTATTTAATACGTACATACATTTGTACATATTCACATATTTTTACAGCTGTATAATTGCGATCTTTTTCGGCTACATAGTTCTCAAATACGTTCGTTCTTCGTTCTTCGCTTTGTACGAAAAATTTTAAATTTTTTTGCTATTGTTTTCCGCTTTTAGCAAATGTATGGCAAATCCATTTATGCACAGCTCTTTCAATAAGATTTTAAGTACGTGTTTGCATGTTTTATATTTGTTTGCGTTTGGCTAAAGAATGGAGTACTCGCTATGCGAAAATGCTGGCACCTGAGTATGAAACCACTTAAAAATATGGAGGCATTGAGAAAAATCAGTTGCAGTTGAGACAAACCGAAGTGCGATCATGGCGAAAAATAAATTTTATTATAAAAAGATAAATCTGTTAATTATTTACATACATATATGCAAGTAAACAAAGCACTTATACTTTATTAGAAAACTTTTAGATATCGCTGAAACTACTGAGACGTTTTTTCAATATACATAAATTAGGAGCAAGCAATCTTTGCGGAAAAATGTAATTACTGTGGTCTGATTACAGTTTCTGAGAGCAACTCCAGGTCCGGAATGCCAAGCAGAGAAGAGTCTATAATTCGTAGCTCTAGATATCTATTTTTTTTGCAAACTAAGCAGACCTCTGTTAATACTTAACGTAAATATTAGGTACTTAAAATAGAAATTGTTTTAATTTTTTTTAAGTAGTTCGATTGAAGCAAATATTTACATGTGGACATACTTATGTGCATTTGAATACTAATGAGAAAAAAACAACAACAATGCAAAAAGCAAATGAAATCAATAATGAAAAGGGGAGGCGAGTGTTTCTAAAACCAGTTTGCTGTTTGAGCTACGCCATGTGTGCACAAAGCGTTTTTTGATGAGCTTAATAATAATAACAATAATAATAGATTGGCGCTAACACAATGTGTTAGTGTGAGGCCGAGCTTCTCCTCCGATTTAAGGTGTGCGTCTTGATGTTGACTCACAAAGGGTAGGGACCTACAGGAGGTTTGCCATTGCCTGCCAGGGGTGACCGCTATAAGATAATGTAGATCTATACGAAAAATTCCTGCCTAATTACAATATTGCCAGGTTAAATGCGAACCAGCAGTGAAGATCCCAGATTCGTACATGCTAAGGTTATGGAAACTCTTCCGAGTAATTTGCGGAAATTATACTATACTAAGCTTCTACTATGTCTAGACAGCGAATTCTGTCTCTGATTTCTCATAAGCATCCCAGAGAGGAACCAATATAAAGGTATGTGCCACCGGCTAGACTCAGGGTTGGCGGCTATCTACAAAGCTGGTTCTAAGCTAAACGACAGGGTAGGTAGCGAGATTCACTTCAGTGAACTCTCACTAGACCTCAGTTTTCGCTCAACTAAGCACTGACGCTTTTTTCCGCAATATAGGATAATGATTGGGCCTGGTTCGTAGCCTCCGCCTATTCAGAGGATACGGCCGATTTATTGTGCCAGCGTGTGCTACCAATGAACCCAAAGAGGTTCTGAAGCAACCTTTATCGAAAATCCCCTTAACCGTTGTTATAGGTCACCGAACGCAGGGATGTCCCTGATACCTGCATGACTAACGGGCTTGCAATAGAGGGGACTAAAATAGCCGTGGTGAACTCTACAAAACATAAATAGAGAATTTGCATCATCGAGGATGTCCATACATACATATCAGGTGGGCGGAGGAAACTACCTTTCACACTACAAGGCACAGCTGGTCAAAAGTCGCTGAAAAGCGCTCTTAAGCTCTGCCTCGACCACTTCTTTCTAAGATCAGCATTTAGTGTAATAGCCGCACAATATCTATCCTTGCCCCGACCTGGCTAAGACGCTTAACCAATTCCTTAACGAATACTTCGCTGGATTTTTTGGGCGACTTAAATTCAGCGAACTTTATCGATATTCGGTGACTAAATTGCTGAAGAAAGTAAGGAAATTAACAACCATCTCGTCAGGGTATCCCAGCGGTAGCAGCTAATCTAACCTAAACTTAATTTAGACGAATGTTTTTTACGTTTACAGAAAAAAATATTTAACTAAAGAATCAAATAATTTTGAAAACTTGTGATATATGTATTTACTCGTGTGTAAACGTAGTGTTAACTTGAACTATAACTTAAACTATGCAAACATATCATTAGGTTTTATTGCTAGGGTATTTCTATCTGGCAAGGCCCTAACTAATGTCAATAAGAAATAAAAGAATAATAAATATTCTCTTCCGGTTGGGCACTTATACGGCGACGACGTGTTTTATTTGCTAAAAAAAAAACGATATCAAAGAATATCACAAAACTTAAAATAAGAGTATTTATATCTGGAACGTTAAATAACTGTTTTTGGAACCCTAAAAATCATGGACATTTTCTGAAAATCTACCGACCAACGAAACCCGATTATCAATTTTTTTTGGCTGATTTTCAGTCATGATATGGTGATTCAAGTGACGGNTAGTTGGAACTACAGGCTTTGGCATGCACTTGGTCATGGAGCGATATTCAGTTGAACAACGCGTAAAAGTGATCCAAACGTTTAATGACCAGGGACGTTCTGTAAGAAGTGAATTTCGCGCATTGATACGTTGAACAAGCAAACGTTATGTTAAATCAAAGATACGTTACCAAGCAAAACTGCCGCATTCGGGGTACTAAAATCGACATACGGGTATCATTCAAGAAAATACTATGTGAAATTTGTAGGGTTTTTTTATTTATTAAAGAAAATCTGCGGTAGTGCACGTATGTGAGTTTTTTGATAACTGGGTCCGTTTGCATGTCCTTCATAAATACATACTAAGGTGGTTTGAGGGATAGTTAGCGATTTTGTGGCCACTTTCTTGATTGCTGTATTTATGGGGTATCTAAGTAATTTTCGAAATATGTAGATGACTCAACGAAGCAGACACAGCGAGGATTGTTTTATGCCAACCGAGGAGCTATTGCTCACATGTAATGTTATATTATTTGGAAAAAATTGGAAATGTCACAAGCTCATAGATTTTTATAATCACTCATTTTCTGTCCATTTTACCTTTCCACGTTTCCTTATAAAAGGATACGTGTGAATGTTTGTCACGTCACTGCCACACATTTTCAATACATATATGCATGCAAGTACATACATACATATATGTATATGTATTTCATTTGACACTCAGGACACCACTTACCTGCGCCAACTCCTTTTCAATTTGGCCAGCACGTATGACCAGCGGTCCGCGCACAGCATACTCCAATTCAATGAATTGAGGATTGATGTTGTCCAGCGACAGACATTTTTCCGCTGTAGCGGCGTTTTGCGACGATGTCGTTGACATTTCACGTTTGCCGTTGATTAAGGACACTGCTGCAAGTCGACAACTCCGGCTAGTATTCGCCTGGGAAATGTTCACTAATGACGCACTAAATCAATTTGAAATAAGAAAGGCAAAATTCGTAAGTGCTTTTCATAACTTCTAAAATACTTCACAAGCTCTTGTTGCATGCGATTTGCTTCGTTAACTTCCACTTTTTTTTTGTCAAATATACAAAGTATACCTATACAAAGTTCGTCTAAGGTAGCGACAAGATCAGACACCAGCGACCGACTACAACGACACAACTCTTCCAAAGCGTTTCGAACGACTGTGCATTCTATGTGCACTAATAGCCCGAAGTAGGCGGCTGATGATATGGCAAGCCGGACGTTGTGTGGTATATTTTCGAGTGGTGAATGAGAAAGAAAGTGGGCAGCAAACGAGAAATAGCAGCAACAAAAGCAGTGATATAAAACGTACGTATGTATGTATGTATGCTTGTATGTACGTTTTAGGTACGATTTAATTAAATATTTAATGAAAACACACTGAAAGAACTGATACGAAAGCTATACATTGTCAAACTCAAATGTCAAAATTTACAAAGAATGATTTCTAATTGGGGTGGCTTACTTCCAATGGCGATACACGGCAGTACTGATGCGATTCATGTTTGCGGCTGCTTTTTGCTTTTGTGTTTGTCCTCTTCCTGTTTGTTTTGGTTTTTATAAAGTTGTTGTTATGGGAATTGAAATTGGTAAATTTTGCTATTGTGTATTTAGTGGAGGTTGGCGCTGGTGCTGTTGTTACGTTTAGTGGGGCTGGAAGTTGTTGTTAGTATAATTGGCTAGAAAACAAACAGAGAAAAGATGAAAAGAACAAAAAGAAGTTATAGTGAAAGAGTCAAGAGATATGTATGTAAGAATAAAAGAGCTTAAGTTGAGCAGAATAAATGCATCTTTTCATTGTGTTTGTATACTTTTCGCCGTTTTGGTTGTACACATTTTCTATTTAATGCAAATATGTACATACATACTTAATGACAACAATGGCTACGAAGATGGCGCGTTAAGGAAATGCCAAATACTCTACACTACAACAATTATGACATTTGTTTGTCACGAAAGCTTTTAGTCGTGACACGCACCATGTTCTGCTGTCGGAAATTGTCATTATTGCCATAATACGGATGGAGAGAGAAAAATAGCCGTTTGACTCTTAACAACTGAGAAAATAACAATAAAAGTTACCTACCCAGCAAACCTTTTTGTTTAATATGAACTTGGGACCCATCTTATATTTGTAAAAGGCAGGTGATCTAGCAGGCACAATCGATCGTTGTCAATTAAATAATAAATTTCTTTT